GCTCCATTCGTAAATTTAAACTAAATCTAAATTTTTCATTGCAAAAATTTTCCTGTCTGGAAAGCTGTTATTATATTCAGAAAAAGCAATCACTTTCCTTTTCAGAAATGTGAAAAATACATACCCTGACAGAGAGATTTTTAGAGGAAACCACCTGCTCAGACAACAAACAACAAAATTGCGAAACTCAAGGCAGAAATACTGACGTATATTTATTGCAGCTACATTAGTNATCTAAGGGCTCCAAAAAAGTGAATGGCCTAGGGCCCCCGAGTTCGCTTAATCCGGCCCTGAGTGGACGAACTAATCATGTTAGCAAAGCCACGACGATGAGTTTTAGACATTTTCTTTTAAATTAATAAAAAAATTTAAAAAAATACTTTTAATTAAAAAAATTTTTTATGTTCTACTAGTAATTTGGAATAATGCTCATTATAAAAATGCCTCGTTACGATCCTGCATCAATATAAATAGAATCTTATTTCGAATGAAAATACAACACACCTACAAAAACCTATTTGATAAAATAAAAAAAAATACTTCTACCTAATTACCTATTTGATAAAATAAATAAAGCAACGCATCCTGTACAAGAACACATACATTGCTTCATTCGTAAATTTAAACTAAATCTAAATTTTTCATTGCAAAAATTTTCCTGTCTGGAAAGCTGTTATTATATTCAGAAAAAGCAATCACTTTCCTTTTCAGAAATGTGAAAAATACATACCCATGACAGAGAGATTTTTAGAGGAAACCACCTGCTCAGACAACAAACAACAAAATTGCGAAACTCAAGGCAGAAATACTGACGTATATTTATTGCAGCTACATTAGTCAACTGAAGCAGCAGTCTACATTCAAGCTATATTCACACTTTCTCATCAATTTCTTTATCAATAGAAATGCATGTCAGAAGGGGGAAAAAATCTTTTTTTAACGGTGTTTTTCCCCATTGGGAGATAAAAAGGGGAATTTAATTCTTATCGAAAGCACAGGAGAAATTTTCAAGTGGAAATTTTTTTTACATTTGTAGTGGCACTTAAAAGAATTAAAATATAATGGACAGTAAATTTTAAGTAGCCCATAAAAAAAAAAAGAATTTTTTGGATAGCTTTTAACATTTTTTTTTCGTTATACACTTTTAAAAAAATATCATTATAAGATTAGGGAAATTGACAGCTCCTTATTAAGAGTGTAATTCAAACTTTCAATATTTTAAATTGGCAAAAACTGATAAACTATTTGCGAACAAATAAATATTATCTTATGAATAAAAGTTTTCTTTTTTTAGGGGGCAGGGGGGGAGGGAGTTCTTTTTCATCATGGGCAACTAAATGTTAATATTTATGCTATAAAAAAAGCAGAAAAAAGTCAAAAATATCAATACTTGAATTAAAAAAGCAGAAAAAAATTGGTATGAAAAAATTTAAGGTCGAGAAGTATGCATTTTTCTTATTCATATAAATATTTTATCATTAATTAATTATTTAATCATTAATTTATTATTTTATCATTAATTTATTATTTTATCATTAATTTATTATTTTATCATTAATTTATTATTTTATCATTAATTTATTATTTTATCATTAATTTATTATTTTATCATTAATTTATTATTTTATCATTAATTTATTATTTTATCATTAATTTATTATTTTATCATTAATTTATTATTTTATCATTAATTTATTAATTTATCATTTATTTATTATACTATCACATATATTATATTACTTTATAATAAAAAAAACACAGCTTTTAATTTTAAGTCTAATTTTGAATAAAAACCAAAATCAAAAGCGTAATGATAGTAGAGAATATTAAGAAAGAGTGATAAATATTACAACTAAATACCTTTAAATTAGGTATGAAGAAATGTTTTACAGACAGACGATATCTCTGTATTAATGCAATGCTAATGATAATTTTTTAAAAATCTGGATCTTCACGTAAGAAAACCATGTGATTTTTTCAACCTATTAGGATAAGATAATATTCAATGCAAATTTTCATGCAACGATAACTAGATGCGGCTAAGATGCGCCAAATATGAGATAAATATAAACGTGCGTTAATACATGTATTCAAGATAATGAAATCAAACTGTTTTAGAGACTATGGCACCAAAACACAAGCGAAGAAAATTCCACTAAGGAATTTCGAAGTCTTGGATCCCCTATACTATTTTATTTTCACATTGTACAGCAATTAAGGCTATTCAATACGAAAATTAAAAAAAATATCTTATCATTTTGAAACTTAATCTGATTCAGAATCCTACTGAAAATCGATATTATTCAAATTAACGTAAAATCTGAATAATATTTATTTAATGCAGACATTTAATATTGATAAATACAATTTCTTATTGTAAGTTGTTTATCCATTCAAAAAACAAAATTCAAAGGAACATAAAAGTTGATCATTAGTTTCTTTCCAGCTAATGGCTGATATTATTGGAGCAAACGAGAATAAAGAAGAGTACTCATCAAGCCTACACAGACCGGTAATTGAATAGCAGATCTGATAAAACGCTTGTAGTCTCTAACTCTTTGGATAAATCATGTGATAAAATGAAGGTCATTAAGGTCTTGATTACTACTAAGTATTCAAGAAGAAAATGAGATAAATGCTTCAATATTGTTTATTTTTATCTTTTCAAATCGTTACAGATGAGTTACTGGAATTAAATAACAGATCGAATTTGTTTATCGAATTTCATAGAAGAATTCTAAAAAACGAAAATAGCATTGCCATTTTCAATCAAGAACATTTAATTACGAACTATTTTGAAGTGATGAATATAAAGAAATTAATTTCTCCGAATTAAAGTTATTTTTTTATTTATAAGAATTCAGAATATCATTAACAGAGCTTTTTTAACATTTACTATTCGGAATTACATTTCAGACAACTAGTTAAGAATTATTCAGACAATTGGTTATTACTTCATAATTGAATGCGTGCATTTATGGAATAATTTTTGGAATTAATTATTTATGGAAGTTATAATGAAATTATTTTCAAATTGAAGTTATGTTCTTATTTCTGTGAATTCAGAACATTATAATCTCAAAACTTTGTGAACATTTCCTATTTGCAATTCCTTTTCCAGCGAAGTGTATTTATTAGAAACCAGGTATATAGCTGTCTGTATTAGTATTTTGTAAACTCCGATTATATAATAAAGTTCTGTATCATCAACTGTTCACTTATCTTTACTTTTTTCTTACATTTTACAATTAAATAATATAATAGACAACTAAACTTGTAATTTAGTAATTGATCATAATTATTCAATGATTCAGCTTGGTTTTAGAAAAGGCTGGTTCTGGGGTAACCAGAACTTCCAAATTTCTAGGTTTGTTTAAAAAAACCAAAAGCGGGTCTTTAATAAAAATAAGTTAAACCTCGGTGAAGCGGACGCTTTTCGGACCAAAAATAGTCTGCTTACGAGAATTATCCGTTTACGGGTAGGGTACACTAATAAGAAAGTGCAACACTATATATTGTTTTTAGAATACTTGCCATGATACAGAAATGATTAAATAATCTGTAATAACTATTTACATTGATATTTATTTACAGTTTAGAAACTATTTTTTTTCGACGTGACCATTTTATAAGAGTGTCCGTAACGTGAGGTTTCACTGTAATATAAATCTGTTTTTTACAGATATTCATGAAAAGTAAATTATTAGTGTGCAAAATATTGGTATAATTTTGCTTACAAAGACCAAGATTAATCTGTGGTGATTGCCTCTAATTTTTCTTTATTATTTATTACCCTAATTATTTATTATATTTATTATTTTTTATCCCAATGAAGAGTTACGCGTTTCAGGAAAGTCTTAATAACTGTTTATACGCGTCAGTGATGTCTTTCATTTTCTCTAGAAGACCGCAGACTTTTAGACTTGGAAGTAATGTGCTACTATATTTGCCTTCTCAGAAAAGAGAGACCAACGTTGAATTATAATATCGGTACCTTTACAATACGGAGCAAATTCACAGCAATTTTAAGGTGATATATGAACCACGATTCCCATCAAGTTAAACCATCTAAGCAAGTTTTAGAAGTATGGTAGGATTAAACTTTGAACCATATTAAGGTTGCAGCAAATTTGAACGATGACACGTCGCTATAAACTTTCCGGCGATCAATCCATAATTTCATGATCTTAAGTTTGAAAAGCAGAGTATTTTCAAAATGGCTACATAACATGCTTTTCCGCTTCATTTATTGGTTCGGTATTGATCATAAGGGAATCAAATTCATATTTATTTAATTAATATTACTACAATCAGTTCACTTTTGTTTTAAAAAGTAGTATAACATTAGTCACGTGACTCGATAGACGACCCATGTCTGTCCAAGTTAGCATGCAAACGAAACTTAACATGTGCACTTAGGCTTGCTACAAAAAATTTAAAATTGCAATATAAAACAAGATGGTGAAGAGATATTCGGGAATTTATAATCGTTACTTTTATTTTGATTTTCGATTACGAAAATCGCAATTGTGATGAAAAAAACTTACCGCATTGAAAAGGAAAATTACTCACTATCTTGCAGTAATTATACCCAAAGTTATTACTATTTAGAAAATTGAAAAAAATGTCCTATGAATAAAAAAAAAGCATTTTTATTTTACCTTATAGTGTTCTTTTTTCTAGAGCTCCGGCCCCCCACCCGCCAATGAGATTGCTGGTGTGCTTTACGCCAGTGCCTGTATACAAGGACATAAGTTTTTTTTTGCTTTCGTAAATTAGGGAAAAATTACATAAATTTACAGGATGCATTTTCAAGATCTCTGTTCCTGTCCCTCAACTGCAAGCTGCCTGCCTGCTACTTTGCTGGATAGATAAACGAACTTTAAAAAACCACCTTGTTCTCATACATGTTAGTACACCAATACAAAGCTTAACGTATTCAGTTCATTCACAATATTTGAACATTTTCTAATCTATGAGAATAATTAATAGGAACTGACCTGCGATCAACAGTCATCTTTACCACCTTGAGGTCTGGAAGGACGACTTGCAAATCCATGCGTCCTTCCAGAAGTTCATCAATGGCGCAATCTTCACCAGGAGTGGTGGTCATAGGTGGAGGAGCACTACTACTCCGAATGTTGCCATTGGAAAGGGGTGGTTGTTTAGCCACCACTGGTGGAGGAGGAGGTGGTGGTGGAGGAGCCACTTTTTTCATTCGGGTACTGTAATTGAAAAAAAAAATTACTAATTAACCGCTACCCTTATAAAATTTTTGAAAAAAATGCAAAATATTTTTTATTTCATTAAATAGCAAAACATAATACACAAGTTTTAAGATTAATTTACATTTTTTTATGCTTAAAAAACATTTAATTTACCATCAATTTACTATCCCGAGTTATTTCGGGCAAATGAAAAAAGTTAAATATTGGTCTTTGTATGATAGTTTATGAAACATGGAACACCACCAAGCGATATTCTTTTTTTAAATTTTTCTACGTAAATTCAGCAACCATCGTATATACAATGGCACAAAACGCGTGTGCAGTCCCACAATGCAACAGGAAAACTCACAAACAGAACTTTGCAAACTTCCAATCACAGCAGATGCAGGGTTGCCACATTAAAAAATAAACAAAATGGTGCTTTTAGTAGCCTAAAACATGAAAATAGTAGTCAAAAACAGGAAAATAGTTGCCTAAATAAGAAGAAAAATTCATCAAAAATATGACTCAAATTTTGTTAATGACTTAATTGTCATATAACATCCATTCAGTCACGTTGGTGGCAAATATGATAATTTTTATTAAAACGTAAATGTTTATATTTATATATATATTTATGAAAAGTGATTTATCAAATTCGAAATTCACGCATCGTAATATCGTATTAGTTTTTTTTTTCTTTTTTTTTTTTTTAAAAAAAATCATTTGGAATTTCGTAGCAATAATCATTGAACAGGCGATCGGGAAATGAAATAGACTTACAATGAAGTCTGTGCAGATTGAACGAATTGACTCAAATTTGCAATTCAAAATTTTCAAAATTTCTTATTTTTTAAGAAAAAAAAAAGTTCAGTGTGTTCAGAAACCATCTTATGCTTACCACAAAAAAAAAAAAAAAGAACATCGCTATGAGTTTAGAAAAGTCTCCCAATAGTCTCCTTTTCCTGAAAATAATTGTTTTTTTAGTCTTTTCAGGCAAAAAAAAGTTGCCGTAGTCGCCTCATGTCAAAAATAGTTGCGAATAGTTGCATTTTAGTCGCCTGTAACAACCCTGCAGATTATTATTATTTTGCTTTCGGTTGAGTAAATAAGAGATAAAACAAAACGTACTGACAAATTCTGCTAAGCCCGAGTTTTCTCGGGGTGATAAATATTTGCAATTTATACATATCCGAGTTAACTCGGGATAATCAGGGAAGCGATTAAAATTGAAAATAAAAAAGGAATTTAACATTTGAAAATAGTTCATTAGATAATTCCCCAGTTAAAAGAAAGACAACTATTTAAGACTTTGAAGACATGGTGACACCGAACTCAACTTTCATTCATTGTACCGGTGCGTAATTTAATTATTAGTCATTAAGATTGGACTCTTAGCAGTCATAGTGATACCAAATGCAGTTTCATTCAAGGTTTGAGTGTACTGGTGCAGAATATCCTAGATCAATAAGCCATGAAAACTAAAGCCACAGCAGTCATGGCTACGCCATTAATTTCCATTCATATTACTAGCGTATCAGATCTTATTCTAAAACTTAGTATGTTGTTAAGAAGACTTAATTTATATGTTCTGAGGTGCACTTCTTTTGAGCGGTCTCATAATAATTCCACTTCTTAAAATAAAATAAAAAATTATAAATAACGTGGGAAAAGGTAAATCAATAGAAAATGCACTAATAATTTTTTTATGCTTTTATTTTTGATGATTTTTCGTAAAGTTGCTGTAATAATATTCTTCGGGTTATTATAAATCCCATTCACAAATCGTACTTTCCATTATACTGATTGTTTTTTTCCCCAACCTATTCATTAGTATTTTTTCATTTTCTTGACAAAATCATTGCTTGATAAATATAATTCTCATTAAAATAAACCTCTCTATTAAATTGTTATGTATCCACAAAATAAATGCTTAGTTGACAGTACCTCTTCAATAATTGTTCATCAACCAATCCTATTATTTATCGACTAATTTAATTTTAATCAATAAATAATTTTAATCATAATAATTCATTTTCTTAACTTTTTTGTAAATTTATTGCCCATAACCATCATATTTGCTATATATTTCCTAATATAATAATAATTTAATATGGCACAAAAATGCACGATGTATTGTAACGTATTAAGAAAAAATGCTTTTAAAGGTTTATTTAGCGGATTGATTAAGAAAAAACTAACTCTAGAAGGTCTTAAGTTACTTTTTTGAAGGGGAAAAAATCGAAATTTCTTGTTTAACGATCTTTTTTTTAAAATTTAACTTCACAACATTAATTTTTTTTTGTTACTAATCTTCGAGTATCATAAAAAATAAAGGTACTAATTACAATATCAAAGTGCTTTTTAAGTGGAAACGTGTATTTGGCAACAAACAGTCTTCCTCGTGTATTTGGCAACAAACAGTCTTTCTTCCTCGTGTATTTGGCAACAGACAGTCTTCCTCGTGTATTTGGCAACAGACAGTCTTCCTCGTGTATTTGGCAACAAATAGTCTTCCTTGTGCCTTTGGCAAAAAACAGTCTTCCTTGTGCCAAACAAACAATCTTTAAATCAATTTGGCAGCAAACAGTCTTCCTTGTGCATTTGGCAACAAACAGTCTTCCTGATGCATTTGGCAACAGTCTTCCTGATGCATTTGGCAACAAACAGTCTTCCTTGTGTATTTGGAAAGAAACAGTCTTCCTTGTGTATTTGGCACTGTTTTCTCATACCCAAAAACAGCAAAGCATTAATTTTGAAATTATTTTAATGAAACTCACTGCAATGTCACTTAGTCTCAAACCACACTGCGCTTCAGTTACAAAAATGTAACTCAATACAAATTAAATTACATACCATGTTTGTAAACTATTACAAAAAATTCTTTTTTTAAATCTTGCAGAATTAATTTTTAAGGAAACAATATTTACAAACAAGATTGTAATGAAACAAAAAAAAAAAATGTTTTTTTAAGACTTTTCTAAAAATGACGAAAATCTTAAGACATATGACATACTTTCGATTTTCTGAAAAAAATTACGTTAGTGTGACTGGGCATCTTTAAGCTCAATAACTCGATTAAAAAAAAAAAAAAAAAAGATAAAACCTGAGTCACGCAAAAAAAGACATTTTTATTGATTGAATGATAGCGACACTTTCAATTCAATGCCATTACATCTATTTTCCTGAATTGTGGTAAAATAAGTTTGGGGTATTGTTTCCAAATCCCAACTGTCGAATTCATCTTCATCTAACGCTACTCACTTCTATTTACTGAGCGTCATAGTAGTTGACGAGATTTGACACCTGGAATTGTCTCGATATCTAAATCGCAGTACAGTACAACAATACAGGACACTTTTTTTTCATTATTTTTTTAGTTTCATTCCTTATTTCTTCCTTTCGTAATAAGAATATGTCAAAGTTAAGGAAAAAGAAATTATAATTATCTTTATAATATAGAAGCAAATATACACCGAAGAGCCATTACATTATGACCACCCTCCATCTGTAACAATGGGCTCGCCCAGGTTTTCATGGTTTCTCGTCCAGGAACAATGTTTTCATGGGGCGCATTAGGACCCATAATCCTCATAGAACAATCCCCGGCGTCTTGAAACATAGTTGCAGACCAGGTTCACAGATTCATGACAACAGTTTTTCATGCGGGGGATGGTGTTTACCAACAGGATAATGCACCATGTCATAAGGGTCGAATCGTCATGGATTGGTTCGAGGAACATTCCAGTGACTTTCAAGTCATGTCTTGGCCCCCAAATTCACCTGACCTTAATCCAATAGAGCATTTGTGGTCCTACTTGGAAAACCAAATTCGTGCTGCCACGCTACCCCCTCGCAATGTGAGGGAATTGCAGGACCAGTTGGTGAGCGCTTGGTACCAGATACCTCAGACTACCTATCAGCACCTTGTGGAATCAATGCCACGGCGGGGGCTAGCAGTTTTTAGGGCTAAAGGTGGTCCTACATGTTATTAGCAGGGTGGTTATAATGTAATGGCTCTTCGGTGTATACCTCACACATAAAAACAATCTCGCAATACCGAGAGGGGTCATAGATTAAGATTCCCCAATTTCGGGACTAACGGTATGATTGTGACAATGTAGTCAGCACTGCGCATAGGCCGCCTTTACTTCTCAGACAAGCTGGTACCCATCGATCTGAAGCTGTGTGACCTTATGGCTGTCAATGAATATCGAACCCCAGTTCAAAAAAACAGTTCAGTGCTTTAACCATTGAACCATCGTAAACATAAATTACATTAAAATGTTTTTCGAATTACAAAAGGTTAAGGGTAAAAAATAAACTGAAATGAGAAAATATGAACTCAAATATGATTATAATATTCATAAAATTTCTAATAACAAAGAATATTCCGGAAGTATAACTAGCCAGTCTATCTGATGTTTTTTAACGGAAATTTTTTTAGATACTGAAATCATATGCAAAATTTATTTTGTCCATTTCGAAGTAAGTTTTAAGCTACAAATTGTCAATAATTTAAATTTTTAACTTTATTACATTCGATAAGTTAAATTTATTTCTCAGATGAAAAGTGTTCTTGGCTATAAAAGGTTACTTTTATCTAAGACTATTTCCTTAATCAAAAACTTTACTTAACCTATAAAACGAAAACAATTATGCTTATACATTTTCTCATCATCATATCTGGCTAGACAGCCCAGGGTGGGCCAGTGCCTTCCTTTGAATTCGAATCCACTTCTCTCTACTTTTGCACTTGTTCGCCAGTTTTTCTCCTTTAGAGTAAGGAAATCAGTCTCAACTAAATCCAACCATCTCAGCCAGGGTCTACCTCTTTTCCTGTTCGTTAGGGGTTTGTGTAACAGGATTTTTTTTAAATTTGAGTCATCATTCCTTCTGAAAATGTGAGCTGCCCAGTTCATTCGATGTATTTTAATGAATGTCACAATATCTGGCTCTCTGTAGATTTTATACAGTTCAGTATTATATCGTCTTCTCCAGGAATTATTTA